TCTGTCCCCACTCCAGCATGAGACATGAAGCTGATGCTAGCTTCACAGCAGCGGCTGCCAAGCAGGCATTGACCGCTCGGCATTTCCAGTATGCTGGCATGAAATAACATGCGCTGGCTGCTGTTCAGCTTCCCATTCCTGAACAAGGAAACCCTCACACTGAGTTGGGGGACCAATGATGTATCTTAAAGTGGGCAGGATATACCGCATGTACTTGTTTTAAACCACCCTCCATTAGTGCTGCTGCCTGTTAAGTGAAGCATCACTATTACAGTAACAGGCAAATATGTTATGTACATATATGCATCCTAAAGCCCATCTTTTTATATATATTCAATATGGGAATATATAGACATGTATGTTATAAAATTGTTGTTTTCATGCACATGCATATATAAATTAAATATATATTGTTAATATGTATGGTCGCTACAAATAATATCATATACAAATGCATTGTTAACCTTATTTCTATAGTGCTTTATACAATACAGATTGTTTCAAAGCAGCTTTACAGTGATAAACCAATATAAGTGATCAGCACAATTTAAATAAAGACATTTTACACATTATTTGAACTCATATTTCATATGATTAGTTTATTTTTTTTGACAGCACAGCCTCCCTTGGCTTCTCGGAGGAAACACCTGCTACACATTTCCTTCATAGTAATCATTGCATCTTCACTGCAGAAGAATCACAGTCTCGTTGCAGTTAAACAGTTCTTATATCTTTATTTATCCGGAGGACAGTGTGTTGCACAGATGCTTCCTCACAATATAACACCGGAGAAGACATCAAATGCTGAACGGCAGATACAGCTACACAACAACAGAAAAATGATTGACCATTCTAGCACATCTATTGTTCTATTGTTGGGTTTATAAAAAAAGCCTTTTACTGAAGACACACTGTGCTCTGTTTTGGGAAGTGTGAGCTCATGAAAACAAAGTGTAAATTTACCAAAACAAAATAGCATTCCTTTTGGTTTCATTTGGCATGCTGCACTCTCTCTCTCTCTCTTGAATCTCTCTCTCTCTGTCACACACACACACAGAGAGAGAGAGAGAGGGACAGAGTTGTTCTGTATTCTTTCTGTTTCTGAAAAATGAGAGAGAGAGAGAGAGACAGAGTTGTTCTGTATTCTTTCTGTTTCTGAAAAATGTCAAATTTCTAAAAAGCACATCAAACGTCCCTCTGTTCCTCAGGAGACGAGAGTGAGCAGATTTACAATAAGAGGGTGTCATGAGGAAATGTCAATGCTTGGAGTATTGATAAGGAGTCTATAAAAGTATTTAAATA